AGTTACTAATTATAGCTGCGAACCTTCAGGTCAGCAGTTTGAAACTACCAGCTGTTCCGCGGGAGAAAGATGAGACTTTCTGCTCCCATAAGGATTTACAGCCTTAGAAACCCTGTACAGGGTCACTATGGGTCGGAACTGACTCGACGGCACTTAACAACAACAACAAAAAAAACATCCTTTGGAAGGAGCTCTGGTAGCGTAATGGTTACGAATTGGGCTGCGAGCCACAAGGTCAGCAGTTCGAAACAACTAGCTGTTCCATGGGAGTAAGATGAAGCTTTCTGCTCTGGTAAAGATTTACTGCCTCGGAAACCCTGTACAGGGTCACTATGAGGCAGAACCGACTCGATGGCACATAACAACAACAACAAACATCCTTTGAAGTCATGGCATAGTACTATAGGATAAGCACTGGACTACTATCTACAAGGTTGGAGGTGCAAATCCACCAGTTGCTCTTGGAAACCCTACACATGGTTGCCGAGTCAGAAATGACTCAACAGCACAACTTTTATGTATGAGTTGGAACCTACTCGAAGGCACTTAACAACATAAACTTCATCTTAATTCTAACAGGAAGACCATGGCATATAGGGACCTCTTCCAACATATTTTCTGTATTTAACATTTAATATGGATGGGTAGAAAATTATGTTAATAAAAAAAATAGTTAAATCCTTGGGTTAAGAACTTCTGACTTATTTAAAACTCATAATTAAGAACTCAAGGCCATAAGGCCTATTCTATTAAAAATAAAGCCTATTGTATTCAAATTTGAGTTAAAAACAATGGACCCTAATAAAGAACTCACACACTATGTTGTGATGCTCATGAAACAACCATCATGATGAGGCTTCAGTGGTTTGTCAGCTTGAGTTTGGAAGATGCCATCTGTAGTTTTCAGTTCCATGTAGCACTGTGTTGCTGCATGTAAATTTGTATTTGTATTTGTATTTGTATTTGGCTTAAATTTTCCTTATTTGGTCACCCTTATAAGCAGGCCTTCAAAGCATAAATCTGATGCAAGTGCTACAAATGCATCAAAGAATAGGAAAATAAAATTGAAATAATAAAGCAATTAGAAAGTTAGAGCGCTTTTAAAGGATAAAGTGAGAATAATGGAGCACGTGAAAGGCTCTGCGCTAGGGAAGCCACATTTATTACTAAGCAACACAATGGTTTAATTGTTGAAACGGAAAGGCCATTGACAATTTGACTAGATGATCAAAACTAGCATATGTCTCAGTTTTACTTCAGTGTAAGAAAAGGCTCAAAGACTTTTCAGTGATTTGAAAACTGTACGTACAGCAAATGAAGGTGATTGTGATACAGAATTTGTTGAGAATAGGGGTTGTTTCAGAGTGGGGACAGATTAGCTAATGCATTAAACAATAAATACATATTAATGTTGTTAGTTATGTTACCCCAAGACATCAAAGGAACACAAGTGTTAACTTTTAATCTTTCTTTCCTATCTAAATTGTTTAGAACTGTTTTGTTTTTAATGGCACTACGTACCTATATAGGAGTCCTGGTGTCCCGCTGTGGGCTAATGTGCTGGACTGTAAGGTTGGTGTGAACAGCAAGCTCGGTTCCAGCTTACCAGCTGCTCCTTGGAAATCCTGCACAGTGTCACTATGGTTCGGAACCAACTCAATGGCACTTAACAACGCACCTACACTGTAGGATAAGCACTGGACTGCAGTCAACCAGCTAACCACATAGCAGTTTAAACCCACCAGCCACTTGATGGGATAAAGATGAAGCTGACTGCTCCCATAAAGATTTTTAGTCTGGGAAAGCCTATATGTAGGGTCACTAAAGTTGGTTTCAACTGCAAGATTGGTAGTTCAAGCTCACTAGCCACTACTTAGAAACCCTGTACAGGGTCATTATGGTTTGAAACTGAATTGACTGCACTTAACGAGTCAAAATAGATGACATTGGGTTTGGTTTTTCAGTTTTGGTATACCTACACACACAAACAGATTCTATTTCTCTTCAGTATAGTACCATATGTTTCTTTTAGAATTACTGTACTATTTTTATATACTACATTGTTATACGAGATCTGGTAGCATAGTGGTTGAATCGGGCTGCTAACCTCAAGGTTAGAAGTTCAAAACTATCAGCCGTTTCACAGGAGAAAGATGAGGCTTTCTGCTCCCGTAAAGATTTACAGCACTGGAAATTCCATGCAGGTTTGCTATGAGTCAGAACCAACTCCACAGCACACCACCACCACCACATTATGTTTTAAGGTGTTTCAGTGTATTTGGAACTGTTTTATATGTATGTTGTTCTTAGAAATGTAAAACATATACTACATACTAAGACAAACATTTGACTGACTAATACTAATAAGAATGGCACATGCCTGTTTCAACTTACTTAAAAATTTTAAGTCTGCACTTAAAAGCAGTCTTAGGAATGAATCTCTTATTTGTAATCCAGGTACTGCCTGTACAGCAACAGATGCCCTTTCATTTCTTTTGGCAAAGGCAGTCGATGTTCTTTAAAGACATTGACACACAAACTGTCAAAACACTTATTTTCTCACTGTTCTTAGTACCTTTAGGTTTTCCTTAACAAATAGCTGAATTCACATCATACTGATAGATGTACTAAGTGGTTTAAAGTTAAACTGGATAATAAACACCATTACAGGATGTCTGGTTGCAGAATTTCAGGTGGCTGCCAGATGTGTAATATTTTGACTTTACCACTCAAAGAGCATTGTTTTCTGCATTAGAAATAGGCTTATTGAACAGTTCTTCCATTTAATCATTAATGTTTCAAGTCCCTGATAGCAGCTGGCTTGTGCCTAATCTGACTATGTTATTCCAACTCTCTACCATTACCATTATTAATTTCCATTATACAGATGAATATAATGAGTAGCTCAGAGCTGAATATGCTAAGACATTTAATGTGGAGGATAAATGGTTTGGACTCTTTATAATTGATTCTAAAGTCTTTGTTCTTTCTACTACTTGAAAATGCCATAAAAAGATGACAGATAATTCTATGATCTTACGGATTTTAAAATGCCGTTTATTAAAGTATGAACTGTATTTTGAACATTTTACTAGAAAGGGTCACTATTAGGAATATTAAACCGAAGTTGTTTTTGTTGTGAAGTGCCGTTGATTCGGTTCCGACTCATAGCGACCCTGTATAGGGTTTCAGAGGAGCAGCTGCCATTACTAAAACAAGTTCATTCAGTAAATCCATAAAACCATGGGTTTGATTCCGCAAAACTATTTAATAGAGTATCTTTCACTTAAACAGTTTTTAATTTGTATTTTTGTTTTTGGCAACCACATTATAGCAGGGTTCTTACTTAATGAAAGATAAAACACAAAAGCCAATGAGCAAAAACGAACAACAGTATTTAATAGATTACGTTATTTGCAAAAAATTTACTTATGGTACATTTAAATACAGAAAGCCTCAAAGAATTTAAGATATGACCCATAAAGTTAAACCTATCTATATGAATGACACTGAAAGATAACCTACTTATGTTATAATTATATTAAGCACAATAAATTATTTCTTGGGTTTTTGAGGATTAGGCTGTTTCTGATAATGTTGTGTGAGTTTAAAGCATCACATTTTCTACTAAGATTGCTACAATTAAGCTTTCCATGGACATTTTAAACAAATACACATCGGAGAGCAAGAAACCGTCACAATAGCAAAATTGCATATTCAACCGTATTCATAATAAAGGACGATGAAAAAACACCTAGACCTTTTGTTTATTCCTCATTCCCCAGAGGAGTTACACAACGGAGTGAAGGTTCTTTCTGGCTGCATTTTTGAAAACTTAAATGTTTTACTACAAGCATAGCCTTCAGTGATTGTGCCTGAGGGCATAACTCTTGCAGGCAATCATTTGCAAGTAAATTACATTCAAGAGAAACTGTACACATTTCTTTGCTTATTACTTTATATCTAGAAATGATGGACAGAAGTCAGTAGACAAGAAGAAAATGAAGTGCACACATACTCTCGCTAAAGTGATAGTGTCATTCTAGTTTTACCAATGCATTAATTTTTATAAAGTGCAATAGACAAAATAAATAAGATCCAAACACTTTGAAGCTCTATATACAGTTCTGAGATTTAGATAAGTTACCAGCTATATTTTTTATAGTCTCTTAAGTTTGTGGTCGCTGTAATATACGTTAAAAAGCTCACTGACCCAGGTAAAATAATTTTCCTTAGGTCAACCTAGCATTAAGGAGTACCTAGCTATGTAGGTTTACTCTATGACATAAGACTGAAAAGAGGCTATCTGTGTTATAGACTAAATCCAGACACAGTTAAGTGCTGAGCATTGTTTCTGGCTTCAAAATAGGATGTATCTGTTTCATTAACTGGTTGGGGTATGAATGGCATAGCTTGATGCGGCAGATTTTCCCAGTCCACGTCACTGAAGAGAGGATGGTGTTTCAGTTCTTAGGGAAAAGATAAAACAATATTATGACATCATATTGAAGTACTGCTTTATAGGAACTAAAAAGAGAATGTTTCAGATTCATATTGTCCTGGTTTACTAAGTCACAGTTTAGACATTGTTTAATGTGTGTCTCACTATTAGACTACATACTTCACAAAGGTTCATGTTTATGTATCAACCTTGCACATGACAAGTGCTTGGTTTGTAATTTGTCAAATATGTGAAGGAATGATTTGCCTAACAGACGCTTGGCTTTCTCATTGCATATGTCTTTTCCCAGAATTCCTGACCCAGAAGACTTGGCGTTATCTCTTGTTCTCCAAGGCAGTTTCCTTACCACTAATCTTCAGTTACTGCTCTAGTTCTCATCCTAGTTCTGGCCACTTGTTTATATCACTGCAAGCATTCACATTCTTTATTGCCCTAGATAACTGTTGCCTGAAGCTCATTTTCTACTCCATATTTTATTCCCCATGCTCCACACTGAGTCTTCATGATGAGTTCAGCACATTCACCAACTGTATACATTCTCTTCCTGGTTCTTTGACTGCCTTGATTTCATTAGTTTAATTCTTTACAAGTACAGTGACTACATGGAGTATGACTACATCCTGAGGCAAGATCTCAAACTTCGCTCACCCATTTTACTATATTTTTGCCACCTGTCATTTTTCCTATTTCGTTCTACCTACAAAAATAAAGATAAACTCTTTGACCATACTGTGTTGTTTAGTTGGTAGGCATAACTTCCTTTCACTTCATAAGGAAACAACAGATTCCTGAGTCAGCAAGCGATGAAGGAACAATTAAGACAGTAAATAGCTCAAAAAGAAGAAAATTGAAGGAAGACATTGGTAAAAGATGACACAGGAAAGAATGAGGTGTGTCTCTATTGAAGGAGATGGGGGTTGGTAGATCAATATGTCTTTCTGAATTGGTTTTCACTGATAGGAAAAGGGATATAAAACAGCAAAAATAACATTCAGAAAATTCATTGATCTTTTATTTAAAATAACTAACCGAGCATGAATTACTTTAACTCTGTCCCTAAAGTAATTTTTACTCAATTGGGATGATTTTGCCCCCAAAGACATTTGGCAGTGTCTGGAGAAAGTCTTGGTTGTCACAACTGGGGGAGAATGCTATGCTGCTAACACATCTTACACAGGACAACTCCTCACTCATATTACTCAATATAACTGGGGGCAGAACAAAAGCATTCCTATCAATGACATCTTAAAAACACCTTTGTCTGATGAGCAATTTACACAGTGCAACAGATGATAGAAGTATTCTTCAATTTACAGTTATTTCAACACTGAAATTAGAATTCCCTTGTGGATACATTTACATAAAAGTTAAGAAAAGTTATGATGGGAAGACCATGGAATTCCTCATCACAACTAAGTATCACAGTTTAAGAGTTAATGTTACAAGTTTTATTTTGCCTTATGAAATCTACCTGGCAGCAGAAAAACTTAGAAATCATTCTAACACATATATTGTTGTTGCTGTTAAGTGCCATCAAGTCAGTTCCAACTCACATTGACTCCATATAAGGTTTCTGAGGAGCCGCTGGTGAGCTTGAACCACCCACCTTGCGGTTCAAACCAACCTTGCAGTCCAGTGCATTAACCTGCAGCGCCACACCAGGACTCCAATTAGCCCATTATAATATAATTATATGCTGAAACTTTCAATTCTTAAAATTAGTTCTACCATTTAGAAGTTCTATAATAAAAAGAGGGGAGTAGTTAATCTTACAGTCCAGGCACAGAGAACCCTAGGACCACCACCAAAGGAGAAGAGCACGAGTGGAATGTGGGACCCTATCTAGAGAGGCAGCGACACCAGAGATGGAGGCAGAGATGAGGATATGGAGAGAAAGAGCAGCTGAGGACTCTAGACTCATGAAAAGAGAAAGGCTGTGTAGTGGCGGCCAGGAGGCAGGCTTGCAGAATGTGCCGTTTGGTTGTTTAAATGATTATACATTCCTGAGTGCTTTTGCATATATCCTCCTCCCCCATACCCCCAGAAAAAGGGGAGAAAACAGAGGAATGGAAGCAAATACTGTTGAATGATGATGTACGGAGGAGGCTGTAATCATTGCACTGAAAGGATGAGTGTGAAACTGATGTTCTCCCATGTAAACTATCACTCAATTCACAATAAAAACTTAAAAAAAACAAAAACAAAAAACTACCATTAATTAAGTTTTCAACATCACCAATTTTATAAGTTGAAAATTATTTTTGCTTTAAATATGCTTCATGCTGCAATAATACTTTCTTTAACCAGCAGAGTTATCAGTTAAATCATTTACGTCTATAATCCTATTGATAGTAGTTTTAAACTCAGTTTGAGAGTGATGAACTGAGAATCTCTGTAAGGTCGAATTTGACATACATACAATATTAGAATGAGCATGAGGAATTACAGAATAGAAGATTTTGATGAATAAGTATTTCCTGTATTTGTTGGATAACTATCAGAGTTTGAAATGTCTAAGGTTGATAAAACAGGATTGTTTCAGGTAACTTTCTTGAGATTAATAAATTTAAATGAAGGATATTGCAACTTGACTGCACTGAACTTTAATGCATGATAAGAACAAATATTTCAAAGCATACCTATGAGACAGAAATTAACTGAATTATCTTTTTACCAGTCAGATTATCTATAGTCTTGTATTAGAACTTGTTATTGTTAATAATAGCCAAAGTTAGGACCAAATCGGGGTAAAAGGGTTTACAAATTTAACACCTTACCTTTAATTCCAGCCCTTTTTGTATCATCAATGGTTAAAAGTATATCTACTGCACTTTGAGCATTATCAGATAGCTTTTCTTCACCTTCTGGCCAAGGGATATCTACAAATATAGATATGCAAGTAAGTGTATGAATCATTGCCTAAAATAATAATATAAAGATAAAAATGATATATGAATCTATCTTAATAGGGCAGAAAGAATCACCTCTTTTCAGAATATTCTGGAATACTTGCTGTGGTGTTTCATCATTGAAGGGGGGAATTCCTGTCAAAAATTCAAACAAACAAACTCCAAGCGCCCACCAGTCTACAGCAGGACCTGGGGATTTAAGAGAAAATAACAAAACTTGCAGACATTTCTTACAAATGTTTTATCAGCTAAACCATTAACACATGGGATTTGTGTATACTCAAGACATTCAATTCCTAAGGCTCTCCTCTAGTGTTATGCCTGTTACTATCAAGTCAATTCCAAACCTTAACAACGATCTAGGACAGAGAAGTGCCCCATGGGGTTTCCCAGGCTGTAATCTTTATGAAAGCAGACTGTCACATCTATCTCCAGTGGGGAGGCTGGTGGGTTTAAACTGCCGGCCTTTTGATTAGCTGCTGGGTGCTTACTCACTGTGTCACCAGGGCTCCTGAAATTACCTTCACTTAGCAAGGTTGTCATTTCCTACCTCCACTATTTTCCAAGAAGTCTGGATTAGTAACTACCACTCCTAGTTAAGAAAAGCTAAAGCCATTTTATGTCATATATTAATAACTTCTGGTATCCTGAATACTCTTATGTGTCCTATATCATAAAACACAACGAAAGAATATCATTATTGTAAAGTCCGGAATACCAGACTACTTCTAAATTTAAAATCAGGAATTAATAACACTTATGTTGTTATTCTGGATTCCATTCATTCCACATAAGGTAGGAGATGAGGTAGCCAAATTTACACTTACTGGAGAATATCCTAGCAACTAAGAAAGGCTAATTAATGCAGTGGCTTTATAACACAGTGATAAATTAATACATATTCACTTAAGCTATGGCTTAAAGATATGAGTAGGAGAGAAGATTTAATAAATAAAAAAAACCTGATTTCTAAATGATATCTTTACAAGAGGCATCACTGATACACCAAGATGTTTGAAATGATTATTGACATATGACTCTATAATTGTTTTATACTTTCGATTACTTCTATGAGAAAGTTTTTCCTAAGCAAAGATTAATTTCAATAAAAAATGATTAAGTTCAATGTAAATTCAGTCTAGGAATTCTAGTGCAATATTTTTTGTCTTTAAAAAACAAACAAACCAGAATTTTAAAAAATTGATTGAGTTGCACCTGCCACCATCCCATTTTAAAACAAGTTGGTAAAGCATTATAGAATTTGTCCACAGGAAAATGACTGCATGCATTAAGAGTACTTTGTTGCTGGCAAGCCACACGACCCCATTTGACCTTTAAAGAATTCAAGAGGCTAATAGTCTATATGTTGCTCTTTATACAGTAATCACCATAAAAATATACAAGCCACCTCAGTTAGTAGCACTGAGAAAGAATTATTCCAGTGAATTAGATAATATGAAAAGGCTTTAGGCCACACAGTAGAGCAAGTGGGAAGAAACCAGAGGATTTTATGTATTTCACCTAAATTAGAAATTAAGACCCTTTTCCAGTGCAGCCAAAATGTATGAATGTCCAAAATAGACATAATTTCTCTATGGATATGTCACACATGCCCATCTACTGGAGTCAAAGTCTAATAAGATCACATATTTTGATGACTCTTAGTAATTGCAATATATAACATCAATCTGAGAAATTGAAAAAATATATTTTATACTTCTGGCTTTCCAATTTAAACTCACTTCTGTGATCTGGAAGGACAGAATGATATTGTTGTACCTTTACATTTTCTTAGTGGAATTAAATGGTTTAGAAAATGTGAGATTGTTTGGAACTTCTAAATTTTAATATTTTTATGAAAGTCTATTTCCTGTGTTGCAGTGAGAAAGCTGTATCTTCACTGTATGACATCTTTAAAAGTGTCTGTATTTCATAAATGAGCTGAAAAGGAAAACTAACTGTTTTCTGTGATCTAGTTATACTTTGACAGTTTAATATGCTGTGCAATATTACTTCATAGGAAAGCTCACTCACCTGAAGTCAGAAATCCTGCATGTAAGAAAAGAGTTGTTAGGGGTATTATATTAACATTATAAATTCATTCGCACATCATTCACTGAACTGTATACCCAGGTATTGTGTCAAATATCAAAGGTACTAACATGAATAACAAAAATATCTTTCCTAGCGTGAAAGCAGCCAAAATTGGGAAATACACAGACATAATTATAGCCCAATGTTAAGAGCTGAAACAAAAACAAACATAAGAATCTATAGGAACTCAAGACACAGTACCTAAGTCAGCTTTGCTGATGGGGATAGACCACGGAAAGCATCAGAGAGTTAGTTATATCTAAGTATCCGTTTGAAAGAAAATTGTTGTTGTATTTAAGTACTGTGTAGTTGGTTCTGACTCATAGTGACCCTACAAGGGTTTCCGAGGCTGTAAATGTTTACGGGAGCAGAAAACCTCATCTTTCTCCTGTGGAATGGCTGGTAGTTTTGAACTGTCGACCTAGAGGTTAGCAGCGGAGCTGGTTATATAAATAAAAGGAGCCCTGGTGGCATAGTGGGTTACGTATTAAGCTATAAAATACAAGGTCAGCAGTCTGAATCTATCAGTCCCTTCCATGGGAGAAAGAGATTTTACTACTCCCCCTACACCCTTCTTACAGATTTACAGCTTCAAAAGGGGTGCTAACAGTCAGAAATGGCTTGGTGACAGTGGGTAGGATTATGCACATGAAGTTGGGAAAAGCATTTCAGACAAGGAGGAAAGCAAAGGCAAAGGCAAAGGCACAGAGTTACGACTGAACAAGGTGCATATAAGGACATACATGTAGATGCCTGTGATTCAAATTTTGATTGCAAACAAGGGGATAAGAAGAGTCTAGAAGGCAGATGGAGCCAGAGAAAAAAAAAAAAAAAAAATGGCCGAGAAATCAAGTCTGTGAACCTAAGAGGATGTGGAGGTATACTTGATACAGTTTTGTGGGGGTTTTAAGGTGACAGACAAGAGCGCGATTTATGGGTAAAGGAACTGAGAGAAAGTGCTATGAATCTTCCATAGTATGTGGTCAAAAGCATCTAATATTAAAAAAAAAATTTTTTTAAGTCAAATAGCAGTACATATGCATGTCATTTGGAAACACAGAAACAATAGTTCGGAGTTGAAAGTCCCTGGGTGGGGATGGGATTTGAGGATAGAAAAGAACAGAAAATTGCTATTTTTCATTATAAAGTGTACTATTTGCTATCTTAAAAACTATGTATCAAACGATTCTTTTAGCAAATTAAAAAATCAAATATATCACTAGCTCTGTGAGGTCATTAGATGTCCCACTAAAATAGTGGCAAGATTCTATAAAAGAAACGCTTAGATTTGAAGCTTACGTTCCTGTTAGGTGCTACTGATTCAGACTCACAGAGACCCTATGTATATAAGAATGGAACAGTGCCCTGTATGGTGCCAGCCTCACAATCTAGGCTAAGTTTTCCATATTGTATCTTAAAATTAAGATAGAGTAAAATGATAATATAGGAAATCAACAGGCTTTAAGGAGAAGTGAGCTCTTTAATTGGCAACTCTGTGACCTAGCAATTGGGTTGTTATCATAGGAACTTAGTTGCTTTGGCTAATAAAGATAGGGGAATATTAAATAAATCAATTGGTTTCTAATACTGTAGAGATTGTTAACAATTACTGAATGTGTCTAAGGAATTTTCCTGGAGTTCTATGTAGAAGGCTTTTCTTCTACATAGAAATTTCTTAAGAAATTTGCTTAAGCTTTTTTAGTGTAGACAAATATTTATTACTAATTACAATACAGGAAGAATGACATGGAAGATGTTTCAAACAGTTTCTAATAAAGTGACATAAGAATGAATAACAAATTCTCCATAGTTGATCAAGGGATACTTTATGGAAAAGGTGATACTTAAGCTGAAAATGAGTAGATTAGAAGAAATTTAACAGAAAATGAGTCGGTATGGAGTTTTCTAAACTCAGGCAAAAACTTTGTACAAAATAAGGGAGACCTGGGCATAAGTATGTTTCAGAAATGGAATGGAGAAGTGAGGCATATAAAGAGATTCCTTGAGAGATGTAATAGGGTCGTTTAGAGCCTAAAACACCATGCTCAGTCATTGGGATTTTATTTTGCAGGTAAGATGGAGCCAGCATTGGTTTTTGAAGCGGGAAGTGGCATGAATCATGTTATGTTTTAGAAAGAGAAATCTGTTGACAATTAGGATATATAACACACTGAAATTAAATAGACCAATTAGAAAGCTATTAAAATGACTAAAGTGAAAAACGAACTTCTTATACAGAAAGAAACAGGATTTCTATGCCTAAATGTAGGGAAGGTAACTATTACTATGAAGATGATGGAAGTGAGGATGAGGAAGCTTGATAATAAGCTCAGCTCTGAGACACATTTGAAAGACCAATAGGCTAGTGAGCAGGCAGTGTGTGCATGGTTCTGCTACCTCGAGAAAGCCAAGTTAGAGATAGGGATTTGGGAATCATCATCCATACAGGGGTGACAACTGAAGTCATGAGAATGTTGAGACTGACAGGGGAAAACGGTAAGGGACAGAATCTTGAAGAACTATATTTAGAAGATAAAAGGAACGATGAGATTGAGAAAGCATCGGTATACTGGCCAATAAGGACATCATTAGTGACAGTAAAAAAAACAGTTTTAGTTACTAATGACAATAATCAGATTATCAAGGCAAAAGTCATCAGGCAAAGGAAGCAGGAAGTCTTTGAAAAGTTAGGCAATGAGGGGAAAACAGGGTTGGCAATATATTTTCAGGCAGAGGAAATGCCAGCAAAGAAGTAAAAATGGAAGGAATGTGTGTGGAGTGGGAAAGTGATTCATATCAATACACAGGATAAGGGGTTCATTTCACAACATAAAAAAGGAAAGATAGGTAAAATGTTACCTTTCATTCTTTTATGTTCCATTTTTAAGGAAATTCATTTCTGGTTTGACCTTTCTGGTCAAAGTATAAATGAGAATAAACTCTAAACAGGAATAGGTTTCAGAAGACTGAACAAAGGTTTAGATCCAATTTGTTTTCCTGAGGGCTTACTAGAACAGACGTGAGGAAACATTAGACAAAAGTTTACAGAAAGGTCCAAAGGGGGAGGGACGTGGGGCTTTCTCTGGATCACTGAGATTGAGCCAGAAGGCAAAGGACAAATGGTCGCATATACCTCAATGTTTGGTTTTCCACATTCAGAGAATAAGAACCTGGCCATTTCTTTTTTCCTTTACTCCAGCAAATGCCATATATATATGAGTATCACATTAATTTATTTTGTTTTGCTCAAGACAATCTAAATACCAAAGAACTTAAAATAGTTTTTACCTCAAAAGAAAATACAGCCATAAACACACTTTAAAAATCCAATTTATACATCTCTTACCGTGGGCCCTGCCTAACAACAATTCAGGTGCGAGGTAGTCTGGGGTTCCGAGAATTCGTCCATCATCCACTGGGGCTGCTCCCCTTCTCACACTCTTTGGAGTTCGGTATGGAGTTCCTGACTTGTTCTGATGGGGTGTTTGCTAATTCACAAAGAGTTTGAAACAAAAGAAGTATCTTAATTTCTTTGGCAGTGAATACAAATAGTGAAATCAAAGAAAACTTACAACACAGGCAGCTAGGCAGTTTTGAGTATGGACTCATAACTATAATTATGAAACTTTCTAATAGCTAAAAGAACTTCAATAGTTTAGACAACAATGATCATTTCAAGCTCTAAGGAGTTCTGGTAGCATAGTGGTTACGAATCGGACTGTGAACCGCAAGGTCAGTAGTTCGAAACTACCAGCTGTTCTGTGGGAGAAAGATGAGGCTTTCTGCTCCTATAAAAATTTATAGCCTCGGAAACCCTGTGCAGGGTCGCTGTGAGTTGGGACCGACTCCACGGCACATAACCACCACCACCATATGCAAGAAACAGTGAAAAAAAATCCCAAAGAAAGAATTCCTTGACAACATGAATTAATATATACGTATCAAAATAATTCCTTATAGTTGCATGGAAGGGATTGTAACCATGGCAATGAGACGATATATGATAGGATGAATGTAAAACCAATGTTCTCCCATGTAAACTATCACATAATTCACAACAAAACATTAAAAAAAAAATTCCTTATAGCAGGAATTAATAACTAACAGCCACTGGTGTGGTGCTGTAGTATAAGCATGAGGTGACTAGTTCAAATCCACCAGCTGCTCCTCAGAAACCATATACAGAGTTGTTATGAGTCAGAACCAACTCAATGGCACTAACAATAGTCACTGAGTTAACAACAACAGTCACTGCTAACGGAAAGGTCACCAACTGTTCTGCAGGAGTGTTCTGAGGCAGCCTGCTTCTGTAAAGATTTGTTGTTGTTGTTAAGTACCATGGAGTCGGTTCCGACTCATAGTGACCCTGCATAGGGTTTCTGAGGCTATAAATCTTTACGGGAGCAGAAAGCCTCATCTTTCTCTTGTGGAATGGCTGGTAGATTCGAACTGCCGACCTTGAGGTTAGCAGCCCGACTCGTAACCACTGCGTTAAGATTTACAGCCTCGGAAATCCTACAGAGCAGTTCTACTCTGTCCTTTAGGGTTGCTGAGTCAAAAACGACTCAATGGCAGTGGGTATAACAACCACTGAGGAAGGCTGTAGCTGACAGATGAATGAGTTATGAGACATTACACAAGAGAACTAAATCTAAATAACCTCTTGTACTAAATGGCATTTCAAAGTTTCCCTAATATTTTGTTGTTCCACATCAGCCCTATAGGGTTCAAGTACCATTATCTTGTATAGACAGATGGAAAAACAGAGGCTTTGAGGTTAAGGGACTTCTAAGTCACTCAATAAATTTTGGATAGAAAACCCAAGTCATGTAACTGTTAAGTTCTGGGCTTATATTTTTTATATTATGATGTCTTTCCAAAGTAAGAAAAAACAAACTGGGTTTATAAAGGTCAGTAGGGTAGAAAATAAAAAAAGTAAGATTTGAAGTACACAGTTTTAAACACTTTTTTTCTATAAACAGATCAACTTATAAGTCCTTAGGAAGCAGTGAGGCAGAGTGAACACAGTGTTTCTGAGGTCAAGTGAAAATATGTGATTTTATTTTCTTAGAGAAGTATATGTTAAGTGCCATCAAGCTGGCTCTGACTCATAGAGACCCTTTGCAGGGTTTCCAAGGAGTGGCAAGTGAGTTTGAACTGCCAATCTTGTGGTTCAAACCAACCTTATGGTCTGGTGCTTATCCTACAGTGCCATACCAGGACTCCAGATAAGTATATCATTGTTGTTAAGTGCCATCGAATTAGTGAAGATACAGTGACCCTGTATAAGGTTTCTGAGGACTGGTCGGTGAGCTTTAACCACTGAATTTGTGGGTCAAACTGACCTTGTACTTCAGCGCATTAACACAGTGCCACACCAGGACTCCTGTATAGAGTTGGAAGAGGGCACTGTTGTTGTTGTTGTTAAGTACCGTGGAGTCGGTTCTGACTCATAGCAACCCTGCACAGGGTTTCCAAGGCCACATATCTTTACGGGAGCAGAAAGCCTCATCTTTCTCCAGCGGAACAGCTGGTAGTTTCGAACTGCCGACCTTGAGGTTAGCAGCCCGATTTGTAACCACTATGTCGGAACCAACTCCATGGCACATAACCACCATGCTACCAGAGCTCTTTGTACTTAGCAATAAATGTCATTATGACTAGCTTTATCTTCATTAAAACTCCCCAAAGATTTAAAGCAAAGTGAACAAAAAAATACGATGGTAGACACTGTCCAATTGAGAGGCAAGTGCCTGGTCTTAAGAGTTAATTTTTCCAAGATTAAAAGAATGAAGTGTTATAAAAGTTATAACATACCTGATATGGCATATAGGATTTTCCTTTTTGAGTAGGGGTTATAGCCATGGGATATGAATCACTATAAGCACAGGAGATATCCATTGCATCAAAAGAAGTAATGCTGGTTTTGGAGGGTTCTGAGTTATTGGATACATTAGTATGGTTGCTAAAAATTTGAAAAGCCACAGCATTTTTCTTAGAGATGGTTAATGTTTTCAACACCCCTGAAGAAGGAGCTAACATTTTTTCAGGAATCTCATCAGCTTTTGGCAACACATTTTTTTGATGGGTTGGTGATACAGTCAGTAGGTCTGTAATATTGGATTCTTCAAGAGAAGTTTCTTTGATGCTTTTCTCTGGATCTAAGGACTGCTTTTGTAATGGACTTTCCATGAGAGAAATTCCAGGAAAAGAGGAGTCAGAATCCATACAGATACTTTTATGAGCTCTGTCATCATCAGAACACAGAAAACTAGAACTTAAGTCATCCTTCTTACTGCACTTTTCACAATCATCATCCAGTTCATGCAGCAGGTTTTTTGCAATCATTGGGTCCGGTGATTTTTCTGGAGTTTGTTGTTTATCAGTTAAAGAACTGACATCGTTCTCCTTATTCACACAGAAATTTTGCTGGCTTCCGTAAACTGAGATTTTAAGGTCTTGGACTTCAGTTGTTAAGCCTGTATTTTGATTTGCACGAAAACCCATCATTTCATTACTACAAGCAGAGTCTACACAATTTTTTTTATTCTGTATAATTTCCTGACAAGGACTAGAATCAACTAACTCAAAATTTCTTTTTAAGCCTTTTTTCCCAGGGTGTTCTTCAGACATATTAGCAGAATCCACACGCCACTGATTTGACAGATGAAAATCAGACTGTCTTGTGTCAGTATGCATAGTGATACTGTTTACATCCAGTTCTCTTGCTTCCCAAGAAACTCTCTCAGAAAAGCATTTTTGAGCAACATTTTCCCAAGAGGATCCAGTGTCAGGAGTGACACTGCTGGAGTGAATGGGAGAAAGGGCTAACTCAAGATCCTTTTTATTGAAATTTCTGGTCTCGAAGGCATTTGTAGATTTAGTACATAAAGGTTTTCCAATTGAATTCGAACTCATCATTGTAAAGCCCAATGCCTCATCATTTTCCTGAAAGGAGAGAAAATAGTCTTTTTACTTTTACAAAACTGATACTTGTTAACTTTGTTGACCTTTGTATACTCAAGTGAGATAAATTATTTCATTAGCAGAATTTGTATGAATGGGTAGAAGTGTTTCTAGCAAGGTGACATATGTAATTATTTGCTAAAACAAAAGTCACTCTAACCTGGCAATCCTTTTCCCATGTGGGGCTGCTGTGGTATTCTGATTCCATACTGGAGAGAAATGTGTGGGACTGACTACTAGCGCTTGATGTAGCCAGTCTTTTTCTAGACTGGAGGAGATTAGAAGTAAGACACTTCACAGGTATGTCTGGGTTAGAAGCAACTGTTTCAAGACCTGTGGGAAAGAGAAAAGATGAAAATTATGTCAAATCTTTCTCAGTTTTTAACTTGAATTTTTACAGATAGTTAGCCAAAGAAATGAGATCTTTCTTATCCTATTTCTACAGAAACACTATTCAATCTACATGGATGGTATATCTTTCTTGCATGCTTCCCATGTTTGGTGGTGGTGGTGGTTATGTGCTGTCAAGTAGGTTCCAATTTATTGCAAGGACCCTGCACAGGGTTTCCAAGGCTGTATATCTTTATGGAAGGAGAAAGCCTCATCTTTCTCCCATGGAACCGATGGTAGTTTTGAACTGCTGACCGTGAGGTTAGCAGCCCAACTCATAAACACTATGCTACCAGAGTGCCTTACTTCTCATGTTTAGGTATACAAATTGTTAGAAATACTAGTACTGCTCTGAAAGTTAAAGCAATAACTCTGCAACATTAGCTAAATCAAAATCAGGTAAGAGAAATCATTTATAATTAGAAAGAGATCAATTTGAAATAACTATAGATAAAGGAGCATTACTGATATGCTATATCTGGATATGCTATATGGTTGCAAAGATTAGATTTGCTCAGTTCAATTAAAATTATAGCTCTATTTTAATGTTGAGGAGTATAAGGATGAATAACTCACAACTTTAAGGGATTTCCTTATTACAACAGGATAAAACAAATATGTAATGATAAACTGACAGATAGCAAACCTGTACAATACAAAGCAATACTATAGAATACAGTTCCTTTTATGATAACATAAATAAATATGGAGCTAAAAATGGTTGCTCCTCAGCTTTTAACACAAAAAGACAAACACAATTTTACTAAAGATGATAATACATGCATTCAATGTATTTTCTCTTTCCCAAAAATGAACAAGACTTCAGTCTCAGGTAAAATCTTAGTCTTATAAGTTTTGACTGTAAGTCTAAAACATTTACATGGGAAGAAGAAATCTAAAGTCTATCTAATTTAAACCTCTTTTTAGTACATGCATCCTTTCAGTGGAATTCTTGAAACTCACTCAGCACTAACTTTATTACTTGGTGAAACTGCTCAGCTGTATTCTCCTAGTATTAAGGGAACCTGTGTCTAATTGAATACCATGTGCATACTGTATGTTTGCGGAGTTTTTTCTGGACCACTGATATAATCAGACCATTTCCTACTTAGGAATCTCGGATAGCTCCCCATTCCCTACAACTTAAATGCAAGGCTCCTTATAATGACACTTGCTTCCTCCCCATCATTTCTCATTGTATAAGCTTTCCATTCCTCCACATTTAAGCTTTAATGTCGTAATGTGGAATATACTTTCATGCACCATTGCCTCTGCTCATGTAGTACCTCTACTTGAAATACCATTTTCCATGATATTTTCAGCTATATACTGCCATTATTAACATCCTGCTTGTCTTCTAGGGTTTAGTTTGGTTGTTGTATCATTATTTAGACCCGTTCCAATAGTTAAATATAAGAAAAACAGAACAGATAGATGTAGAATCAATCCCGACTCATAGCAATCCTTCAGACAGAGTAGAACTGCTCCAAAGGATTTCCAAAGCTGGAAATCTTTACAGACTCCCACATCCATCTCCCACAGAGCAACTAGTAGGTTCCAACCTTCAACCTTCTGCTCAGTAGCCGAGAACTTAACCACGGCACCACCAAGGCTCGTCTGTTACCATATATTTTGATTTTTTAATTTTTAAAAATCATCTAATTAGATCAAGAGGGAGTGTTTTATAATCATGCATACACTTGCCAGAGACTTTAAATCTATGTATATTTAGATTAGAGTTCTGGTGTGGCGCTGTAAGTTAATGCGCTGGACTACAAAGTTGCTTTGAAACTACAAGGTCAGCAGTTCAAGCTCACCAGTTGCTCCTTGGAAACTCTATGCAGGGTCACTATGGGTCGGAATCAACTTGATGGCACATAACAACAAAGCGTGTGCTTTGTTTCTCAAAGGGCACAACGGAAAAAGCTAGCTTTCATTTTATACTTACATGCTTTTAGTAGTTTGTTACAATAAGGAGCAGTCTCCTTTTGATCTACAGACATAGGACAAATTAATCCTTCAGAAAACTGTGATGTTTCAGATAGATCAGTTGAAATAATATCTGTACAGTCTTGAATATTTTCTGCAACTGGTGTGTTCTATTAAAAAGAGGAAAAATTTTTTTTTTAAATTAAAGATTTATCTTTATAAAAATATCTCCACAAGACAGGGGCCTTAAGTAGAATCCTGAATCCCACCCAGAACCTTCTGAGGTGGGAAATTTCCACTTGAAAGGACATGCAGAAGACCAGAAGAGTTGTGGGATGACATCAAGAACATCATACAGGAAGAAAGCAAAAAGTTATTTAAGAAGACAAGAAAGAAGGAAAAAACTAAAATGCATGTTAGAAGTAACTCTGAAACTTGCTCTGCAGTGTAGAGATGCTGAAGCAAATGGAAGAAGTTAGGAAGCACAAGAGCTGAACAGAAAATTTCAAAGGTCAGCTCGAGAAGACAAAGTCAAATACTATAAGGAAATATGCAAAGACCTGGAATTACAAAACCAAAAGGAAGAACATGCTCAGCATTTCTCAAGCTGAGGGAAATGAAAAAAATTCAAACCTCAACTTCAGGCATTAAAGGAATCCATGGGCAAAATACTGAATGATACAAAGAGCATCAAAAAAAAGAAGAAATACAGAGAGTCACTACACCAAAAAGAAATGGTGGATGTTTAACTATTTCAAGAGGTAGCATATGTTCAAGAGCCAACGATCCTGAAGGAAGATGTTCTAGATGCACTGAAGCCACTGGCAAAGAATGAGGCACCTGCAATTGATGTATTAAAAATTGAAATGTTTCAACAAACTGATGCTGCACTGGAGGTACTCTCTCATCTATGACAAGAAATCTGGTAGACAGCTACCTGACCAACTTATTGGAAGAGACCTGTATTCGTGGCCATTCCAAAGAAAGGCAACCCAATAGAATGTGCAAATCATCATACAATATCATTAATAGTCCATGCGATTAAAATTTTACTAAAGATAATGCAAAAATGGCTGCAAACATACATTGACAGAGAAATTCCAGAGGTTCAAGCCAGATACAGAAGTGGATGTGGAACAAGGGATATCAATATAGATGTCAGATGGATCTTGGCTGAAAGCAAACAATACCAGAAAGATGTTTACCTGTGCTTTATTGACTATGCAAAGGGTTCGATTGTGTGGATCATGATAAGCTATGGATAGCATTGTGAAGAATAAATATTCCAGAACACTTAATTGTGCTCATGAAGAACCTGTACATAGACCAAAAGGCAGTTGTTCAAACAGAACAAGCGAACACCGAATGATTTACAATTAGAAAAAGTGTGAGACAAGGTTGTATTCTTTCACCATATTCATTCAATCTGTATGAAATAATCTGAGATGCTGAATTATATGAAGAAAAACATGGAAGACTCATTAATAACTTGAGATATGCAGATGATACAACTTTGCTTGCTGAAAGCGAAGAGAATTTAAAATATTTACTTATTTGATGAGGATCAAAGACTAAGCCTTTGGTATGGGATGCATCTGACTTGTAAAGAAAAAAAATCCTCACCATTGAACCAATAAATAACATCTACACAAATGGAGAAAAGATTTGACGTTATCAAAGAATTCATTTTGCTCGGATCAACCATCAACATGCATGGAAGCAGTAGTCAAGAAATAAAACTACATATTGTATTAGGCAAATCTGCTGCACAAGATTTAATTA